CCACTGAGGGTCTTGGAAAGTATCCCCTGTAAATAAGGAGGGACTACTACTGGACAACCCTTTCTCTAGTCTGTGGCAATGGGTCTGAGAACTAAGTATACTATATATTTTTTCACTCTCAAATTTTTTAAAAATTACAGATATGAATTCTAAGGAAGTTGTTAACCCAGAGACAACAGAAAAGGGAGCATCATGATACTGGAAGAAGCTACACTAGAGAATTTTGAATCCAGTTATTGGGGCCGAGCTTGTGGAAGAAGCACACTTCCTGAGCTGACAGATAAAATTAGCAGCTAATGTGATAACTAGCCATTCCACAGTGAAACAATCTGGCACCTGTGTCAGCACTGTGCAGTGGCTAATCTATCCTGGAACTCGGTGTACTAGCGCCAATGAGACTTCTCCCCAGGGCTCCTTCTCTCAGCCCTCCCCACCCACTCTCAGGTGAGGCTAGAGAACCCTCTCCCTCCAACTGCATTCTTTTGTTTTCCGTTTTTGTTTTTGTTTTTTTAATGCACTGCTCTTCCCATGCTACCTCTGGCCCAGACCTCCTTTCAAAAAGGAAGCCAGTGCCCCAGGGAACCCTGAAGGGCATAGGAGGGAAATGAAAAATGGCCCAGGCACATACCTGTACCATCAACTTCACCACATTTAGAGTCACCTCCACTTACCATATAGGGATGGAAGTGCTGGTTGTCTCCTCTATGGCTCTACCTACAGTCCGTGAACCACTGGGAAAGGACTGGAGCCCAGACTTGTGCCAAGTCTGTTTAAGCAGGGGCAATGCTGGGCTATTTAAAGAAGAGCTCATCCTTACCCACTCCACTTTTTCCTTGTGGAACAGAGAAGAAAGAGGCCTTATCTATCTCATTCACCCTAAAATGCTGACACCTGACACAGTATCTGGCTGAAGTAGGAGCTAGGTGTATGTTGTGAAGTGGGAAATGGATGAAGAGATGGACGAATAGATGGATGGATAGAGACAGTCATGTCAGAGTGGAAATAAACCTTTTCTTCCCAGAGCTAGCACTCCTTCTTGCCTCAGGCCACATTCACACAGGCTGAGTATTTTCTCAGGTACCCATAGGAAGAGAGGCATGCGGAGACAAGGGAAAAAAGAGAAAAAGGTATCAATGCTCCAATCCTAAAACATTAGTTAACTCTGCCAAATCTTCAGCTCTGAGAAAGATATGGAGAAAACAGACACTCTCCCATGCTGCTACAAGGATTTTAGGCTGGTACAATTTTTCCTGGAGGGCCAGTTATATCCAAAGCCTAAGAATTTATAGAAAATCTTCACAGATGTGCTCAGACAATTCTGTATAAGAGCAGTCACTGTAGGGTATTAATCAAAAAGAAAATTCACAAAAGCCCAACAGGTTTACTTTTGTTTCTATCCTTGGTATCTAGACAAATTCATAAACTTGCCTTCTCCCCAAGGGTTTGGTAAAACCTCATTAAATCAGGTAAACCAAAAACTAAATGTGGAAGAATCAGTTCATATTGCGTGGATTCAGAAAAAAAAAAAAGAAAACTATTTATCCCCTGCCTCACTCCTTGAGCTTCGTTGAACATCTCGCTAACGAGAGCAACAACTTTTCAAGTGCCCCATTTGTACATTATCTAAAAGATTCATCTTATTTCTCAAGGGAGGGGACACAGACTTTTGTAACATCATTAATCCTCCCAATCCCTGCCCACTCATTTACTCTTTCACACTTCTCTTGATCCAATGCCCACTAAGTTCAAAAGGACTAACTCGCCTCTTAAGTGGAATTCTTTGGAGCTAAATTTTATGCTTTGTCAAGGATGGAAAGCTGGATAGTGGCTCCAGCACAGCCAATACTTATTTGCTCCTTAATCTGAAGACACTTAAAAAAATCATCAAGGAGGTGGGTTCGATAAACAAATTAACCAGCTGTGAGCAAGAAAATGAACCATATCACAGTAGAGAATGCAGTGAAGTTCTTTGCCTTGGCCATCACGTGAAGAAAGCTGGCATTCAAATCAAATTACAGGACAGAGAATCAGGGAGCCTTCACCAGTACTGACAACACAGAAGAGAAAATTTTCTCCGTGAAAGGGAACTGAAATAAGCTATGAAAAGCTTGCTCTTAAAAAATGATTATAATCTCTGGGTATGTCTATTTGTTCTGAACATATCCATGATTTGGTCTTAGGAAGCTGGGGCTCAAGGGAACATCCTTCTCTCAATGTTCTGAGACTAAAGCCACCAGACGTCATCGCCTAGTGCACAAAAGCTTACCTGGTTCCTTCTGCCAATCCGATTTGGTCCTGGAGGCTTCGTGAGGGACTTGATGCTCTGGGGGCTCCCGCCATATACACTCATTACCGCTGACATCATGGTGTTGATGGAAGACAAGTCTGAACCTTCCAAGCCAATGGGCGAACTTGACGTCATTGGGACAAGGGTTTAAGCTTCTAAGAAGCCTCTTCTACAGAACTGAAAATTGGAAATTGCTGATGTGATCACTGGGAAGTTTAGGCTTCTGTCAGAGCCAGGTGGCACTGGCCATGGCTACCGTAACTGTGAGTCAGGTCAAAACCTAAAACCCTCCTTCTTCAGTTCAAGCTGATACTCACACTCATAATGACTTAAAAGCTTTCATCTAAATAAAATGTCATACCAAAGAATAATCTTGCTTCCTTTCTAAGCGTATGCCAACGCAACTCCGCAACTCCCGAAGCCACCTGAGGCAGGTCTCTTTGTCTTTCCTAATCTTCCATTAGGCAGAGTAGAAAAGGCTGACCCAACAATTAGGAAGCTAAGGGAGCTGCCACTTGGCCAGCACTCTAATAATCTAACTCATTTGCTATTACACGAATGTTGTATACCTGACAACTAACAATGAAAGTTATCAGGTTTCACTTAACTCCACTGCTGCAATCCAGCGATTTCAATGGGGAGCCTGCATTGTATAAGACAATTGAAATGCCAATCCTACCAGGATTACAACCAAATTTCAAATTAACATAAAAAGACTGTTTCTTTAAAAAAATACAAGTAGGTAAGATACCTATATCCCAGAAGATAGACAGAAGAAAACCCAGCCCGCACTGTGAATTACCTCCATTTTCTGCCCCAACTGCTATACTATGAGATTTTCCCCTGCTATAGCTATCTTCCACGTGGAGTAGGAAAGGAGTCTGTGTTTCGCTTTTTTTCTTCTCTTGGTATCACTCTTTGACACTAGAAGGGAAACAAAGGCAAAAATGTTCAGTGAATGTCTTTTCATTTAGTGAAGAAAAAACCGAAACCACTTATTTGCCATGATCTCAGACCACGATATTCATGAGAATATAGAAAACACAAATGAGAGGCAATTTCTAAGTCTTCTTTTTCTTCCCAAACCACATTTTGTGGTTGTTTTTCAACCTTAACTGATGTTCCCTACAGTCACCCTCACTCCCAACAGCCAAAACGATTTTGTGGTATTTTACTTTCTGAAGCCCATATTTATATATATGCCCCAAATTTTCTTTCATATTTTAAATTCCCCTCCCCCCATAAGGATGCTCAGACTCTGACTTGACCCATCTGAACCTAAAACTGACCAAAGACAAAGCAGTTGAGGAATTCATTAAGGCTCACTGTCTAGAAAGTACTGGGTTAGACCTAAAGGAAATCAGATAATGTGAAAAGAACGATCAAAGGGAAAACTGTGGCCCATGGCCACATCAAAACTTACTTCTTCGGGCCTTTTCTAGTTATATTCCTTACAACTAGAAGTACTATGGCTTCTATACTATAGGTTTGGCCACAAATAAGTCTACAGGTAAATGATTCCCCTCATTTTATCTGAGATGTTTTATAGCTGAAGCTCTGCCATAAGCCACACACACTCTTATCCTACAGTGTGCATTAGTAAATTCGACAAATCCACAACTGTGAAGATCATTATCTCAGCAGCAAAGTGAATGCTTAGGAACAACACCAGAAAGAACATTTCTTGTGGTTTCCTCCTCCAACTTTAGGTGATGTGACCTAGGATATGACAAATGGTAATACCCAGAGCAGCTACAAATGTGTCCAGTACCAACCAGAGCAGGAAAGGCCTGGGAATATAACTTTAATAAGTGATGTTGCCATCAGCTCAGAAGTCCCAAGCTAAAATCCTACCAGAAGAATCATAGAGGATCTCAGGAACAGTACTTTCCTTGTCAACAGACAAACTGCCTTCTTGTTAAAAGACAGCTTGAAGATATGAACTAGATGGTTTTCCAAATGGCAGGCGAAAGGACTAACTGAAGAAACATACACCTTAAGGCAACTAAATTCAGCCTCACCCTTCACATATTTCCCCGTAAAGAAAGTTATGATCAAAATGAAAGAAAAAAACCAAACTGCTATCTTTCCATGAAGTTTCCTCATGCTAGAAGACCATTTAAACTTATTAAAAATTGTCCTTCAAATGTCCCATTTTTAACTATCTTTTAAAGTTTATTTGGGAGATTTCACTCTAGGAAAGAACATGTGACAGTGCACACACGTGTGCATGCACACACACCTCATTTTCTTTTAATACAGTTCTAACAAAATTAGCATCAGTTCCCTATAATTGCTGTAGTCAATCAGCACATAAATTATTTGTTTGATTCAAATAAGTGGACACCTTCAATACCAAAATCACCTTCATTCTTTTAAATATACTTCTCCCACAGTTTTAATGTACAGCGAATTATAAAATAACTGACTAGAATTCTTCTTTACTATAGTTATGTTATATCAGTAAGAAGAAAACCTTTCTACCCATTATGGTAGGAGTTTAGAAGATAGATGATTTTGCTTTTGTCCTATGACTATACTTAGAAAAAAATGTGGTGAGACTTTATGCAAATCTGGCAATAGGTTAAAGTAAACAACCTGAGGACTAAATGTAAAATTTTAAGTTACAAAAAAATATATTTTAATTCTCATCTATACACTAACCAGAAGCCAGTAGCCAGTGTTAATTCTACCTATTATATGTCTGGCCCTGGACTATACTGGAATAATAATCCAAACTAACAAACCTAAAACTGTCGATACGCCATTCTCGGGGAATGAAAGATAAGTTTAACAGTTTAAAGTCCATTTACAAAGCACATTTTTCTTTATGGTTATTTATAGTCTTAAAATTTTCATTCTCTCCTTTGCCCCATTTCTTCTTCCTGATAGCACATCAGCATCCCCCCTTCTCCCATTGCAAAAAATAAAAAATTAAAAAATTAAAAAAATAAAAGTAAAAATCACTGGCCCCCTTCTAATACAATCTCCTCCAACTGGAATCAGAGAGGACTGGGAACCAAGATGAAATTCCTAAATCACAGATATGAAAAGAAATCATCATCTTCATTGACACTGCCAAGTGGATGGGTCTGGTGTTCCAGTTTTTAACACAAACAGTCTGGATTGGGGGTGGAGAGAGAGAAGCAAATAAAAGTAAAAATCACTGGCCCCCTTCTAATACAATCTCCTCCAACTGGAATCAGAGAGGACTGGGAACCAAGATGAAATTCCTAAATCACAGATATGAAAAGAAATCATCATCTTCATTGACACTGCCAAGTGGATGGGTCTGGTGTTCCAGTTTTTAACACAAACAGTCTGGATTGGGGGTGGAGAGAGAGAAGCAGGGAATGGGGGTGTCTTAAGTGTTACTTCTTGTGAGATAAACACTAGGCACCCTTTCTGAGATTTCTCATCCCACACCCAGGCCCAGTAGGTCAGGAAGAACTAGCAATTCAGTTACAATTTCACTGTGGTTTTTCGCCAAAGCCCCGGGAGGATCTGGAGAAGAGGGAGGGCAACTCAAAGGGAACATGGGGAGAAAGAGAGAGGGAAAGGAAGACTCAACATTCAAAGTTATTGTGACTCAAGGAAAGCCAATAAAGTTTTACCGACCTGTTTTCTCCGTCTTATCAAGCTGGCCCTTCTTACTAAGGGGCTAGTGCTGGCTGGGCCCAAACATAGGCAGGGTCACACCTTAAAGCAACCACCTCTGGAGCAGAGTCGAAGCAACCTACAAAAACAGGAAAAGGTGACATTATGAGGGAGTCAGCACCAAAAACAATCCCATCTATCTATTTCTCTACTCAATACCACCGTGAGTCACAAATTAAGGACAACAAAACATTTCCCATCCCCCGCCTGCACTTTATAAGCAAGTTTCCAGCTCCTAGGTTGATTCCACCCATTCCTCTATCAGCATCCAAGCAAGAACAGCTGGAGGTGAGTGTGCCCTAGACAGAGAGGAACTCCCAGAGCACGCTCCAACAATGTCACGGGCAATATCACCTGAGAATGGTTTGGACCACTGGCTCCAGGTGGAGCTTCTAGCATCTTAATGGCATATTAATGCTGAAGGACAGCCAGTTTAAAGAGTAGAGAAGGGCGAGACATCACTAAGCGCTATCAGAAATAGATGAAAAAAGAAGAGCTGATGAAAGTAAAAAACATGGAATTAAACGGTCCTGCAATATAAAGGAGAAATGATTATATCTTTTCCTCTAAGCGATGGGGGAAGTATCCATAACAATTCAAATAAGACCAAATGCATATTTTTGTTTTCTGTGGAGAAGATGCAGAAAACTACTCAAATTACAAGCACCCTTCAAGAGATTGAGAACTTCTGCTCTGGGTACAAAGGCCTCAAATGCCTGACCTAGGAGAAAGCTGTCTGGCCCTCTACAAAGTGAGGGGAAACTGGAATGCAGCATTTGCCAGAGCTACGGCGTTCAGCCACAGCATCCCATAGCTAAACTGAAGAGTAGAAAACTGGAAGAAGTAAAGAAGTAAAATAAACAGCCACATGGACAAAACCTGTTGAGAAATATTTGCTTGGCATGTTTTCTCATTTTTATTCCCTTCTGGAGAGTTGGGGAAAGCTGCCCAATAAGGTAACATGCCCAGCTATCATCTTGAATCTTACTCACTTTGTCCACACGTAGTTACTGAGCACCTGAGGTGGCAAATTCTTGCTAGACCGGTCTGTTGGGGGTGAGATAGCTCCACCGGCCCTTTCTGTTAAAAGCAGCTCCTCACGACTTGACACCATGAAGTTTCTGTCTTTACACATCACTGCTTCAATTTGCCGCTGTTTTTCTTTGGGCCTTTCTCTTTTAAAAAGTTCTTTGGATTTTGAACAAAGTATCAAGAAATAAGGAGTGACTCATAGGGAAAGCCCCTGAATGAGGCAGAGACCCTTGAAGCCTAGAGGAACCCTTACTACTACCCCAGTAATTCTCAACATTTCTTGGGGCAAGACCCTCCTTAAGATCTTATGGAAATTATGGACCCTCCCACAGAAAAACATACATAAGCTACATCCAACATTTTCTTTCATGATCAGGAGTGTCTGAAACTCCTGGAACCCATCAGGGATAAGTAGGAGAAGAATCCTGGTTCTATTTGATATATAATGCACCTTCCTTTAAACTATGAATCAAGTCGATTTTATTAAAATTCTCATGCATTTTCAGAAATATGGGCGGGGGGGACCACTTTTTAAATCATTTCCACATAAAAAAAAAAAAGGTAAGGTTTCCCTGTTATTCACTTTTTAATTAATGGTAATTTTATTAGGAAGAAAGTCTAGAAAGGAATAGCTGCATGGTTTTTTATTTCTAGAAACCACTAAGACCTCAGAATAAGTGAACTGTAGTTCTCTATATAATAAAAACACACATCAGAAACAAAAGTCTCTGGAATTAAAATTTTTCCAGAATATAACTAAGACTCTCATTAAAATTTAACCCACACCCTCCCCTCATTTAAAAAAAAAAAAAGATACTTTAAAAAGTCCAAGGAACCTCCTCAGCATACAAGAGGAACCAAGGGGAGGAGAGGGCCAATCTGAGAGACTTGACCCTGAAACTTCCATCATCTGATCTTGGATGTAAATGATTTGAATACTGAGAATGTCTTGCAATTAAGCTGAGTAACAAAAGTCACTACCCTTTTTGTTTTGGGTTCTATAGGGCAGGAGAGATTCACAGAACTCAGAGTGGAAAAGTACAGGCACTTCTTGGAAGAAAATTCAACATACTCCTTACCTCTATCAACAACGCCTCAGGGGAAAAAAGAAAAAAAGACCTGTGAGGAGAGGCTGTGCCCTAGAAGATGATTCCAGTAGGGAAAATGTGACAGAACACAGGCTGGGGAGGGGTGGGAGAGGGGTGGGTCTCTTGGCTCCTGAGGGAGGATGCTGAATTTCTGAATTTGCATTCCCACACAGGCTTTGCCCAGATCCAATGCAAGGAGGATAACTTGGAGAGGGCAGAAGTCCATCTGTGAGGGGGAAGAGAAGGCCAGCCCCTAGCCCCAGAGGAGATAAGGGACAATGCTATGTAAAGCCAGAAAGAAAAGATTAAGGAGCATGTCCCCAGGTCCAAGATAACAAAGAAGAGATGAAAGATAAAAGAGAAGATGCTCTAGAAACAAAGCTTTTCAGCTTTTGAAAACCCTGCAGATTCTTTAAGTGAAATCTAAAATCTGTCCTAAGGCTCCCAGAAAAGATGGTCTTAGATGCCTGAGATGACAGAAGAGGCCCCCCTGGACAATAGTGAGCTTTACAACACCAAATCAGGATAGATGCAGTGCTGAGCCTGCACAGATGTCCTCAAATACTTGGGATGGTTGATCCACTGATTAGAACAGCCTAGTGAACAGCCTTGTTGGCCAGTTATGGCCAGCCCAGGATAGGCTAAAAGATTTTTAATTGGAGTTCAGATACTAAAATGCTGTGAGCTACTATGGAGTTTAACAACAGCAAGGACAACTCTGGAAAGATGGGCTGAGGCAGAAAGTAAATATTCTTCCCTAGTCTTGGCTAGCTGGGGACAGAACCAAACCAGACTAGATGTTGCACCATGGCACTGCCTGTTCTCCCTTGCCTGCCAAGCTCAGGGCAAAACCATCTCCTCTAACCAGGACAGCCTCGCGTGTTCTCTGAAGGCTAAGACAGCTGTGATGACGCTCTGAGTTCCAGGAAGTTGATGTGTTTCTTGGCTTAGGGTTCAGTCTATGCCTTGGATAGGGCGGCAACCCATCCAAGTTACCCTCCCCCACTTGCTGACATGGGCTTTGGTCAAACAGAGCCTTAGAGTGTCACACAGAGTATTTGAGCAGGCCCTGCACAATCAAGTACCACGAGCTGCTCCAGCCAGTTCTGGATCTTCCCCCGCTGGGTGAGGAGGGACCACTAAAAGGGGTGATGCACCTCTCAGCTGGCCCACATTCAAGAGAACAAAGTGTGGAGGGAAGAGGGGGAACTGTGGCAACCCTAGGACCCAAGACCAGAAATGTGGGCCTCTCCTTGGGTTGTCTTCTGATCTCTGCCTCAAGACCACAGAATGGAAATGGTCAGACTTTTTAAACTGCCATTCAAAGCCCTCCATACTCTGGCCTCAGTTTACCTTCTGGCCTTCTCACCTATCAGTCCCTATGGTTATCTCTGTCTAGTTTCTTCCCCCAGAACATTCCTCTCTCCACCCTATCCCTCAGGGGCCACTTTCCACATGCAGCCTCCCTGATTCCCACTGACCCCAGGCTCTTTGTTCCAAACTTTAACTCTAGTAGTAGTAGGAGCTAACACTTTAAATACCATGTGCCACATGCTTTAATCTTTATAACAAACATGCCATGAGGGGTATAGATCAGAAAACTAAGGTGTAGGGGTTAAATAACTTGCCCCCAAGATCATGGGGGTAGAGGGAAGTGAATCCAGTTTCTAATCTCTATTAAGTTTCTTTTGGACAAAACTTGCAACTCCTGGCACATGGCTTTAGAGAACAGATGCGCTCCCCTCAGTCACATTCTCTGACTTCTAACAATCATGTTCTGAGTCATTTCTGCCCTTCCAGACTGCGCAGCGCCTGGCCTCCCATTTCCGCCTGTTTCTAGGCAGGAAAAAGGAGCTCTCTCCTCCTATCTTCACCTCTGCCTCTCTCTCCGTGGCAGGAGGCAGGACTGGACTTCCATCTCAGACTAAAAAGTTCATTGCACAGAGTAAGAGTTTGCAAACCATTCATTGCCCTTGCTGCACAAAGGAAAGAAGGACTCCACATCCGGCACCGTTGTGTTCTAGAAGTACCCAGGCAAGGAGACGACCGGATGGAAGCCACCAGGCTCTGCCTGAAATCCCAACAGCCCGGTCCTGTCCAAGTGGCTGGATCCAACTGATCCACCAAGGTGAGCTCGGGCTCAGAAGTGACCTGCATGTGCTCCGGGTCACTTCTGCTTCCGTGGAAACTGAATGCAGACCTGGAGCGAGAGGAATCTCTGATAGGGGAGCCCACACTTTCAGGTGCTGGGGTTCCAACAAGGTACGTGTAGGAAGAAGGAGGAGGCAGGAGATGGGAAACACAGATGGTGGGGATTGAGTGGGCAGAACTACACAGATCAAAAATTAAGCAAACACCACATGAAAGAAATCTTTTGGTCTCATCTAGTGATTGAGCAGTTACCTGCCACTGACCCTCCAACACAGCCACCCATCCCAAAGAATAGTCCCCATCAACAGCTTTGTTAGAAATGTAGATTCTCAATATATGGAAGTCATTATGTGGTACACCTTTAACTTACACAGTGCTGTATGTCATTATATCTCAATAAAATTAAAGAAAAATGCAGATTCTCAGGCCACACTCCAGAACTGTGGCCTCAGAAACTCCTATGGGGGCGGGCTCTGCAGTCTGTGTATTAGCTCCCCCGGGGACTGTGATCCATCCTTGAGAACCAGCACTGGCTTTTTGAAGAATTCTGAAAGAAGTCACCGTGACACAAAAACAAGGATTTCTCTGAAAAACCTTCCTTCTGTGGGGATTTGGAAGGGGACACTGATTTATCACATCCCCAGAACGAAAATCAAGGCGCTGGTTATAACTTCGGCTTTAGTTACTACAATAAAATAATAAATAAGGGGGGATTCATCTATGCTTCCTCAGGAATGGGATGTATCGGATGGATGTGAGCATCAAACAGGGCAGGCCAGCGTACAGTGCACGAAAAACAAAACCCTTT